GTTCACTTCAAGTTTTTATAGTATAATTCAGTTCAGTTCAATGACACAAAAGAATAGTACTCAGTTCAGTTCTGAACTAATATTCAGTTTAGTTCGGTTCATGAAAACTACTTTTAAGTTCACGTTTTGCCTACCTCTAAATAATTTTTACGGTACGATTATCTCGCAATCCGTCCATAATCTAATAGGATGGTGACAAAATCTATTTTATATTTGGAAATTGAGGGAAGTTGACAATAGATGTTGTTGCTTCGTGAATATATTAATCAGATTCTCAGATATGTTTGTTGATTCTCTTTTATATTTTCTTGGGGTATTATCAACCGTTTGAGACTACGTCAAGATGACAAATATCTATAGAGAAAATAGAGTGCTAAGAACTGAGACTTAAACCTAACAATTTACTTCCGAATAATGCATGATCATATAGCTTGACTTGTAAAGTAAGTTAGCTTCTTATGTATTTTCTTTTTTTCTTGCTTGTACTTTTTTTTAGACGCAATCTTGTTTGAGATAAGTCTCACATACATTAAATACCGATAACTCTCTTAGTAGAAATTTGAACTTTAATTTACTACATCATGATGAAAGGATAGTTTTTTTTTTTTCTTTCTAAATTATATTTTTATTATTTATCTTATTTTTTAAAATTTATTGTATTTATATATTAAAATGTTTATTCTGATTTTTATCTATTTAGATTAATTTAATCTTTTTAAAATAATAATTATTTTCAATTTTGCAGTATGTTTTAGTATCAATTTTTAACTGATTTAAAACGTGAAACTTAAACATTATATTTATTTATATAAAAATTATGAAATACAATTAATGTTTGAATCTAAATAGCTAGACAAGAAACATAGTGAAGATTATGTAAAAAATATATCTCATAAACAACTAAAAAATAGTATGAAATTAGATTATTTTTAAAATTTTAAATTTCTACTGTGCATATAACACTTATGATTTGAACTTTAATTTTATTTAATAATTTCATATAAATAAAGATGAGTTTTAAGTCTTTAATCAATTAAAAAATAATTTAAAATGACTCAATTTACTTAAATTTAAAAAATAAAAATAAAAATTTTAAATGATAAAAGATCAAAATAAATTTAAAAAATAAGATAAAAGACTTAAAAATATAATTTAGCTTTTCTCTTTTATTAAACCTAATCTCTATTCATTTTTATACATATTATTTTTATAAAAAAAATATATACATACAAAATATAGAAACAATAAGATTAAAGAAATTAGTCTCTGTATCATGAGATGTACTCATTTTTTATGTTGATGTAATTTAAAATAATTGTTTAAATTATAACTTATATTCAATTTATATCGTTTGTAAATATTTTTAAAATAATTTTTCATTACCTAATAATCTTATATTAATTAATATTTTACATTTTTATATACTTTTAGTTATAAAAATATTATTTTATTTTGACTTTAATTATTTTCAAATTTAAAAATAAAATAATGAAAATAAAAAAATATTTTTTAAAATTTGATTTGCTTTAATTTGCTTATAATTCTTACATTTAAACAAATTAATTGGTATATGACTGAAATTGAATTCAGTTGTCTTAAGAAAAACACCGAGTTCTGATTTTTTTGAATAAAATTGGGAAGGAATACCCTATTAAAGTGGTCAATTAGACTTTTTCAACATGATCATCAATAAAATCATTAAATATATATTTCACACTAATAATATAGTTAAAAAATAATAATTAAAGTCATAAAATAATAATTGATTAGTAATCAATAAAAAAAATGCACAAATTCAAATACTTATTAATGAAGTCATTAAAACTTATTATCCTTCTCTTGATGCCAAATAATGAAAAATGAAATATTTTATATAAGTTTATGTTAAAAAATTTATATATTAAATGTTCCATAAGAAAATGGGCGAAGTTCGTAGTTTTGACTGGGAAATGATATACCTAGGGCAATTTTAGACCAGATTCATATATATATATATATAGAGAGTTTTTAACTTTTAATTATAAAATTATTGTATTCTTCAAGCATTTTCAAAATTTGAATTAAAATACTTTTCATAAGAATTCAAATACTTAATGATAAAAGAGGAAAAGAAATTATGTAGTAAAATAATTTTATACTATTTTTTAATCACAAACTATAGCTTATATGATCAACTTATTAATTTTTATGATAATTATCCTAAAAACTATATCAACAGAGATTATTATTAAATTACAATGTAATTTTTGTTTCACTCTATTAATGTCTTGTGTATGCAGCCGCGTTAAATCTTGGGGCCAGCTATCCCACCCTTTGAGATGCCTCCAACGTAGCGAGGAGATTAGTTACTGCTATCGGCGGTGAATACTCCAGGTACGAACCAAAAAATCAATGTATAGTCATTCAATGTATAATAAAATCATTAAATTTCATCAAATTTTTTTCCAATGTTTAATAATAAAAAAATTATAAAATGTACATTAAAAATCTACTGCTTAATAGTCAGCCAATCAATAAATACATGAATTAAAGATATTAAAATTCACTTCTTAATAGCCTGCCTATCAAAAGATATTAAAATTTCATTCCTTATAATAGTCCACCTATCAAAAGTTATTAAAATTTCACTCCTTAGTCAGCCAATACATATTTTCTATATACATTTAGAGAGTATGCCGTCAGAATTGAAAATTATAATTACAATTTATGATTTAGGGTGTGATAACAAAAAAAAACTGCATAAAAACTGTACAAATATAATATCTCTAATCTTTTTTCTTAGTGTTATATATATATATATATATATATA